TTACATAAGTTTCCTGACTCTTGCTTCATTATATGCAAAGTCTAGAAAGGATAGATGCAAAATATTAACAGATGGTATCGTGAAGGTTGCTCTTACTTTCTTGTATTTTTCTGAGTTTTTGCACAAACATGTATTACAGTCACCCTCAAAGAAATCAAGCTATGTTTTTAAAGTTAAGGATCATTTGTTGTAATAACCAAGTGCTTATGTCTATTCCTTGCCCTCTGGTTAGAAACACCCAGGCCCTCTTCTCCAAAGCCACATAGGACTCCAGCTATTAAAAATGATGGATCCTTGGCTGGGCCTGGTGGCTGATGCCTATGATCCCAGCACTTTGGGAGGCCAAGGTGGGTGGATCACCTGAGGTCAGGAGTTCGAGACCAGCCTGGCCAACATGGTGAAACCCCATCTTTACCAGAAAATGCAAAACAATTAGCTGGGCATGGTGGCAGGTGCCTGTAATCTCAGCTGCTTGGGAGGCTGAGACCAGAGGATCCCTTGAACCTGGGAGGCGGAGGTTACAGTGAGCCGAGGTCACGCCATTGCACTCCAGCGTGGGTGACAAGAGTGAGACTCTGTCTCAAAAAAAATGAAAAATAAAATAAAAATGATGGATCCATTAAAGTAATCTATTAAAATTATACATCAGATTTGCTCATTCAAAAATGAACATTCAGACCCATGTCCACCCAGCTGGGAGCTGCAGGGCGTCCCGGCGGTTCTTCTGTGGCCCGGAGGGTCTCCTCCAGGCGTCTGAACCTTCTTTCTGCCCTGACCCCTTGGCCAGCCTGGGAGAGGCTGGGGACCCCCTCTCAGACTCATGTTTAAAAAGCATAAAATGAAATACACAAGGTTACAAGAGTAATCAGTTAAAGTGCATATGTCAAAATATTAAACATATATTTGTGGCACAGTAAGTATAATTCTTTTTTTTTTTTTTTTTTTGAGACGGAGTCTCGCTCTGTCGCCCAGCCTTCAAGATCTGCCCACCTCAGCCTCCCAAAGTGCTGGGATTACAGGCGTGAACCACTGCACCCAGCCGTATAATTCTTCATTGATGCATTAAATGATAAGACCGGGCGGTGGGTCTGATAACTGCCGTAATACTGAAGTAGTGTTGAGTATATATCAAATGTTGGGATAGATACTGCACCAACCATCATTTGACGTGAAAACGCCTGTGATTTTCTCTTCACGGTCACAGGCACTGCCAGTGAATACTGTGGTTTATTGCCTGTGTTTCCAAATGCTGTCTTCCGGTTGGAGCTTAAAGGAACTTAAAATAATTATATATTTCCCAACCAAGTTCACATCTCCCCAAGGAGATGTAGTTGGTTAGAGCAGCGATGTTACCACCTCCTTTTCAAAGTAGCCCCTACCTGTGCTGGGCGCAGTGGCTCATGCCTGTGATCTCAGCACTTAGGGAGGCCAAGGCAGGCACACCATTTGAGTTCAGGAGTTCAAGACCAGCCTGACCAACATGGTGGAACCCTGTATCTACTAAAAATACAAAAATTAGCCAGGTGTGATGGCGCGTGCCTGTAATCCCAGCTACCCAGGAGGCTGAGGCATGAGAATTGGTTGAACCCGGGAGGCAGAGGTTGCAGTGAGCTGAGATCACTCCACTGCACTCCAGCCGGGGCTACAGAGCAAGACTGTCTCCAAAAAAAAAAAAAAAAAAAAAAGTAGCCCCACCCGCATTGCTCTGTTTCCTGTTCCTGTGCTATTTCTGTTCAGTGCACCTGACTTGATGCGCTGTGTACCTGACTTGATGCGCTGTGCACCTGACTTGATGCGCTGTGCACCTGACTTGATGCGCTGTGCACCTGACTTGATGCGCTGTGCACCTGACTTGATGCGCTGTGCACCTGACTTGATGCGCTGTGTACCTGACTTGATGCGCTGTGCACCTGACTTGATGCGCTGTGTACCTGACTTGATGCGCTGTGTACCTGACTTGATGCGCTGTGCACCTGACTTGATGCACTGTGTACCTGACTTGATGCGCTGTGTACCTGACTTGATGCGCTGTGTACCTGACTTGATGCGCTGTGTGCTTTTTGTTCATCATCCGTCTCTCCTGCTAGAACGTGTGCTCACGGGAGGCAGGGGTGTGATCGGTCTCACAACACTGTCCCCGTGCGGGGGGCAGTAAAGCAGTATTGAGTATTGAATGTGGATTGAATGCTGACACTGGGCGGCGGTTTTAATTCTAGTCTGCAGTTATTTGCTTCCCTTTTTTTTTTTTTTTTTGTTTTTTTGTTTTGGCTTTGGAATTTTTTTTGGGTGAGGGGGAGACTAGAGATGAAAACCTCCCAGCCCTACCAAGCTGAAGCATTAGCCCCGTAGTGGCCGTGCTAGTGTGGGGCGCCGTCTGTGTCAGTGTATCTCTAGACTGTCCTTGGATCCTGCTCCTTAGAAACTGCAGATGTTTTGGTGGCAGCGAAGGGCCACCCTCCTGATGGTGGCTGGTCACAGTGGGTCAGGAGTGCCACAGTTATAACCTGGTTTGGCTCTTTGATGGCATCTGAGATCATGGGGCTTGCACACCAGTATTCAACATGTTTGCCAAGAGGTTTTTTAGATGACTGTGTTTTAAACCGGGCACGAGGCGTGACTATTCTCATAACTTACATGAAGTCTGATATTGGAACGCAGACTTCAAATGAGTCACTGCATCATACAGTTCGAGTTTACCTTCATTAAATCACTGAAACGCCACCTTTCTGCTTCCCCTTATATCTGCTTCTCTCCCTTTCCCACTCCTGACTTCTCCATTATGAGCCCCCACGAAGCACCCTGAATTAGGGAGACACAGGAAGCACTCTGAAAGGCACATTGACTGTCAGCATGGGAAGCAGGAGGCCCCTCGTCCTCATGGCAGGCCCCAGGCCTGTGTCCCCCATCCCCGAGGGAATCTTGAGTGTCTTGTCATGCCACCGGGGTCGGTGGCATCTGTGGGGTGGGGGAGAGAGCTCCCTGAGGCGGCCTGCTGTGCCGGGGGCATCCTAGGGGCTCAGCCAGATCCTCACTGCATGCGCTGCTCAGAGTTTGCTTCCGATGTGCTCTCGTGGTCTCCAGATGCTTCCCTCTGCGGAGCCGCTGCTCTTGCCAACGGCCTCGGTTTCCTTTTTCTGCTGGCTGACACGCTCTCATTTCACGGAGCCCTGGTCTTGACGAGGAAGACACTTCCTTCTGCAGGGTCCTCCTCTCCACTGCGCTGAGGAACCTGACTTTAGCAGGGCTTGTGTGTAGGTGCCAGGCCTTCCCTGGCTGAGCGGGCCCTGTGCTCCTTCTGGCTCCTGGTTCCAGGCCTCGCAGGGTTCCAGGATCCAGCACAAACTCCCTGCCAGCTCGGCAGTGGCCAGGCCCAGGCACTACTTCTGGGTCTGGATGGCAGCCTGGGAAGCCCAGCCTTGACTGTGGCACCATCTTCTGGGTTCATTTGACAGTATTGGCTCGCCACATGGTGTCCTCTGCAGATTGGCCGGTCTGCCACCCCGGGGCTACCAGGGCCTGTGCCAGGGTGCACAGGGATATGTCTGGTCAGGAATCACTTGGGTCCACAAACTGCTGCTTACTACTTTCCCATCTCTGCTTGGAACCTGGTCCTCTTTGAGCTGACCTGGTGGCCCCAGGCCCCCTCCTGGGGCATCCTGCATGTGCTGTTCCTCCCACGGCCGAGTGTTCCCTTGGACTTGGTCGCTGTCTTCTCCAACATCTGCTGTTCTCATCAGGGGCCCTTGCTGCACTGTCCCGGCATCTCTGCCAAAGCTCAGCCTCAGGGGCCACCAGCCCCTCCTGCCACGCCGTCTTCTCCAGGCCCAGATGGCCACGTTCCTGGACCCCACCCCGCCCTCCCTTTCCTCCTCCCTGGCTGTGGTTCCATGGCCCATTGGGATCATCCCTTACCTCGACTCCCTCATCCCCTGAAATTGCCTGGGGAGCCTGCAGCGCCTCCCAGGTTCAGCCCAGCTCCCCAGCTGCTGTGATTCTGCTTGCAAGGAGCTGGCCCAGCTGGAGAAAAGATTCAACAGCGGCTTGCCTCCTTTCCCCATGAATGAGCACAGACCACAGTGGGCCTAGGCACCGCGTTTCCACACCCCTACATGCCACATCACACTGCTCACCTCCCCAGCTCAACTCTCAACAGGCCCCCTTTCTTCTGTTTCACCCAGAAATTAGGAGCTTTCCAAAGAGACCCGAGGCTTCCCGGCTAACAGGGGCAGTGGCTGTGCTTCCGCCTCCAGCCCCCGCCCACTTCCTGCCTTCCTGCTAAAGGACATTCCTCCTGCACCCAAGCAGTCTCATCTTCCAGACATGGTGGAATTGCTCCAGGCAATACGTTGTGTCTTTAAATCATTTCAAAGGCAGATCCCCTGCTGTGCACAGCATTCCTCCTTTACATGGCTTCAGGCTGCACCCTTATCGTGGAGGGAATGCAGCAGAGGTGTGTGGGACTGCGGGGGATGTCATGGTATCAGTTGCATCTTGAAACAGAAACCTGGTTAACCTAGAAACTGACCCCCACCTCCACCAAGCGCTTCCTGAAGCCAGTGACACCTCTGTCTGCTGCCATGTAACTGCTCACATGTAAAAGTGGCTGGAGACTGAAAACGTAAATTGACAATAGGCTGGGCACAGTGGCTCACGCCTGTAATCCCAGGACTTTGGGAGGCCAAGGCAGGTGGATCACTTGAGCCAGGAGTTCAAGACCAACCTGGGCAACATGGCAAAACCGCATCTCTACACAAAATAAAAACAATTTAGTCCCACCTACTCAGGAGGCCAAGGTGGGAGGATCACCTGAGCTGGGGGAGGTCGAGGCTGCAGTGAACTGTGATCATGCTCCTGCCCTCCAGCCTAGGCAACAGCAAGACCCATCTCAAAAAAAAACTGAAGATAAAATCCACTCTCCTCGCTGACCTCCCCAGTCCTTCCTTCCGTTTCAGACATAATAGCCTGCCCTGCCATGTGCTAAAGTACTTCTCTCTCCCCAGGACAGGGGCAAGTTTTGCCTCACATACGAGGCCTCCATGACCCGGCTCTTCCGAGAGGGGAGGACGGAGACAGTGCGCTCCTGCACCACTGAGTCGTGTGATTTCGTGCGGGCCATGATGGACCCGGCCCAGACGGTACTGCGCATCAGGCTGTGGGCACAGCGTGCTTGTCACACTTCCCTAAAACACATCTGGAGGCTGTCACTCCAGCTTCTCTGATCTCATCATTCCTGTACCTTCTTCTTCACGGATGCTCATTTCAGCTTCTTCCCTCTGCCCCTTTCAAGGGAACAAAAAGTATTAAAACGTATAGGTAGGGACAGGTTCAGAGACACATGTTACAAATGATACTTCTCCAAATCATCTACTTCCTGAGAGCCTTTAAATGAGACCAGGACATAGCAATGAGGAAGGGTAGCAGGTGGCTGCTTCAGAACTAGACAGGTAATGGGCATCAGGGTGGGAGAGCAGTGACTGTCGCATGGAAACCTTGCATTGATTATTAGAGCCATTGCCATGCTGGGCCCCAAGTGCCAGGCTGCGGCCTGCGGGCTTTCTGTATACCATCCTTTAAGTTCTTAGCGGTGGTCCTGAGAAGAGTCATCGTTCATTTCCATAGACAAAGAAACAGAGGCCTAGATAAATTCGGCAGCTGCTGGGCCACTCAGCTCATAAGTGGCGGAGGTCAGACCCAGGCCACTGGGTCCACCTTACCCCAGCGTGCTGGTGCTTCCTGCCGACCCCCAGAAACACACAGACCAGGGTTCTCTTTTCCGAGACAAACTTCATTCTGGAAAGGCTGTCAGCCTGGGCATGGTGGCTCACGCCTGTAATCCCAGCACTTTGGGAGGTCTAGGCAGGCGGATTGCCTGAGCTCAGGAGTTTGAAACCACCCTGGGCAACATGGTGAAACCCTGTCTCTGCCAAAAATATAGAAAAAAATTAGCCGGGTGTCATGGCGGGCACCTGTAGTCCCAACTACTCGGGAGGCTGAGGTGGGAGAATTGCTTGAACCCAGGAGGCGGAGTTTGCAGTGCCTTCTCCTGCCTCAGCCTCCCAAGTAGCTGGGATTACAGGCGCCTGCCACCACACTCAGATAATTTTTGTGTTTTTAGTAGAGACAGGGTTTTGCCATGTTGGCAAGGCTGGTCTTGAACTTCTGACCTCAGGTGATCCACCCACCTCAGCCTCCCAAAGTGCTGGGATTACAGATGTGAACCACTGGGCCCAGGCTCCCTTCATTTTGAAACTTAGGTCCGTAACTGGTCAACTTGAGACAAGCAACGTATGTCCTTCCTGCCTTCTTTCTCACTCAGGTGGAACAGAAGCTGAAATTGTTCAAGTTGGCGTCTGAGAAGCATCAGCTGATGTATCGCCTCGCCATGACCGGCTCTGGGATCGATCGTCACCTCTTCTGCCTTTACGTGGTGTCTAAATATCTCGCTGTGGAGTCCCCTTTCCTCAAGGAAGTAAGACTCTTCCTCCTCTTCAGTCAGTTCTATTGGCTAGACCAAAACTTAGTAAATTCGTACAGTCTTACACTCATCAGTTTTAATGGCGGAATGGGCATTTTTTAAAGAAACGGGTCTGTGGGCGCAGCTGTCGTAAAATAGGACATTTGAGCAGCGGTGTTCGTACTGCGTCTCTTCAATAACTTGGCTGTCAGATGTAGCCCCTGCCTTGATAGACCTGAAGACCTTGAGAGCTTAGGTCAGAGTGAAATGCACCGGAAGTAACCAGGGAGTGATGAGCTGTGAGTACTTACCAGCTTTGTTTTTAAAAATCATTGATTTTATTGTAAGTTTAGGAAATGTATTATTATTATTTTTTGATATGTAGTCTCGCAGTGTCCCCTAGGCTGGTTTCAAACTCCTAGGTGCAAACAGTTCTTCCTCCTTAGCCTTCTGAGTAGCTGATGCGTGCCACTGCACCCAGCTCAAATTTAATTTAATTTTTATTTATTCTTATTATTTCCTTTTCTGGAGACGGAGTGTCACTCTGTTGGCCAGGCTGGAGTGCGGTGGATCTCCACTCACTGCAACCTCTGCCTCCCAGGTTCAAGCAATTCTCCTGCCTCAGCCTCCCACGTAGCTGGGGCTACAGGCACACACCACCACTCCTGGCTAATTTGTGTGTGTGTGTGTGTGTGTGTGTGTGTTTGTGTGTATTTTAGTAGAGACAGGTTTTGCCGTGTTGCCCGGGCAGGTCTCAAACTCCTGAGCCTCAGGCAATTCACCCGCCTCGGCCTCCCAAAGTGCTGGGATTCCAGACATAAGCCACTGGCAAATTTAATTTTTTTTTTTTTTTTGAGATGGAGTTTCGCTCTTGTTACCCAGGCTGGAGTGCGATGGCGCGATCTCGGCTCACCACATCCTCCGCCTCCTGGGTTCAGGCAATTCTCCTGCCTCAGCCTCCCGAGTAGCTGGGATTACAGGCACACACCACCACGCCCAGCTAATTTTTGTATATTTAGTAGAGACGGGGTTTCACCTTGTTGACCAGGATGGTCTCGATCTCTTGACCTCGTGATCCACCCGCCTCGGCCTCCCAAAGTGCTGGGATTACAGGCGTGAGCCACTGCGCCCGGCCGGCAAATTTAATTTTTAATAGTGGCTGTATTTCACAGGCAGCTTGAAAATTCTCTGAAAATTTGGCAGTTGGCTCATGGGAGTTGGTACAGTCTGACATGTCTGCCCCTGTTCTGAATCTTAGTCGCTGTATCTGTTACCTTCACAGTCTGAGACACTATTTGCTGTGGTATGCGTGCACGCAGACACACAGACACACACACACCACACACACACACGCATATATGCACACCCCCGCCCGCACTTCCTGCCCCAGTCTGAGGGCCATGCCCACTCCGCATCCTCTCTACAGATGCGCTGCCCAATAGACTTAAGGTGTCTGGAACAATCAAAAGACCAAGCCAGGCTTTTCTTGTCTTCCCAAGGCGACTCCTGAGGGACGGGAGAGGAGGGGATTAGGAAAAGTGTCGTTGGAACATTTCCCTGTTGGACTCAACAGGTTTTATCTGAGCCTTGGAGATTATCAACAAGCCAGACCCCTCAGCAGCAAGTGGAGCTGTTTGACTTGGAGAGGAACCCGGAGTATGTGTCTAGTGGAGGGGGCTTTGGACCGGTGAGTGCCGTGGGCTGGGCAAGGTGCGGTGGGGTGTGGCAGTGGCATGGGTGATGGCGAGGGATGGGCCTGTCTCTATTCTGGGTGCCCCATTACCTTGTGGCTCTACTGCTGTACAGGAATGGCTGCTGATCACTGCTATGGATGTCCTTAAGAGTCTCGCACTTTTTTTTTTTTTTTTTTTGAGACAAGGTCTGGCTCTGTCACCCAGCCTGGAGTGCAGTAGCATGATCACAGCTCATGGCAGCCTCAGCATTCCCCATCTCAGGTGATCCTCCCACCTTGGCCTCCTGAGTAGCTGGGATTACAAGTGCATGCCAACATGCCCGGCCAATTTTTTATTTTTTTCTATTTTTTTGTAGAGACAGGGTTTTGCCATGTTGCCCAGTCTGGTCTCAAATGTCTGGGCTCTAGTGACCTGCCTGCCTCAGCCTCCCAACGTGCTGGGATTATGAGGAGGAACCACCAAGCCTGGCCATTATTGCATTTAGAACACGAGAAAGTTCTGGCCAGGCGCAGTGACTCATGCCTATAATCCCAGCACTTTGGGAGGCCGAGGTGGGCAGATCACCTGAGGTTGGGAGTTCGAGACCAGCCAGACCAACATGGAGAAACCCCGTCTTTACTAAAAATACAAAAATTAGCCAGGTATGGTGTGCATGCCTGTACTCAGGAGGCTGAGGCAGGAGGATTGCCTGAACCCAGGAGGCAGAGGTTGCAGTGAGCCGAGATTATGCCATTGGGCTGCCTGGGCAACAAGAGTGAAACTCTGTTGCAGGGAGAAAAAAAAGAAAAAGAGAGAAACATTAGAGAGTCCCTTTTTCAGGTCATCTCATTTCCCAGCAACAAATTCGAACTGCTTTGTCTTCCAGGTTGCTGACGACGGCTATGGCGTGTCATACATCCTCGTGGGAGAGAACCTCATCAATTTCCACATTTCCTCCAAGTTCTCTTGCCCTGAGACGGTACATATCAAAAGAAGTTTCTTTTTCTGAAGATGGGCTATTTTTACTTTTTAAGGGAATACATCTCTAATTTTACAGAAAATTTCAATTCAACTGTGTATGTTTGCTTGGTTTGGGCAGTTTCACGTAAATGGACTTTAAAAAAAATTTTTAATAAAAAATATTTTTTGTACAGGCAGGGTCTCCCCACATTTCCCAGGCTAGTCTCAAACTCCTGGGCTCACATGATCCTTTTACCTCAGCCTCCCAAAGTGTTGGGATTACAGGCTTCAGCCACTATGCCCCACCATAAATGAATTTCAAAATTCTCTTTACCTAGTTTTAAAGAAATATATCTTGGCCAGGCATGGTGGCTCACGCCTGTAATCCCAGCACTTTGGGAGGCCAAGGCAGTCTAATCATTTCAGGTGAGTCGTTCGAGACCAGCCTGGCCAACATGGTAAAACCCCGTCCCTACTAAAAATACAAAAATTAGCTGGTATGGTGGCACACGCCTGTAATCCTAGCTACTGGGGAGGCTGAGGCAGGAGAATCCCTTGAACTCAGGAGGCAGAGGTTGCAGTGAGCCAGGATTGTGCCACTGCACTCCAGCCTCGGTGACAGAGCGAGACTCCATCTCAGGAAAATAAAAAGGAAATGTATCTCATGGTTTAACATGTTTACTTACCTGTGTTGGCAGCAGAGGTTTTGAAGCTTAACGTTGGAGTGCTGCTGTATCTTTCAGACTCCTAACACTTGGAAGGTGAACTAAGAATAATGGGGGCACACTAAGAAACCTGTATGCTCAGCGGAGCAGGGGACCCCGGCTTCCTCTGTGGAACAAGGGACCCCCTCCCTCGTGTGGCACATTGCCCTTATTTATATTCTGCTTTCCTCCTTGTACATAGCCCGGCGAGCCATGCCACTGTCACTGTTCACAGGAAGTTGGGGTTCATTTGTTTGTTGTGGTTTTTTGTTGTATGTTTTAGAGTGTCACTCTGTCACTCAGGCTAGAGTGCAATGGTGCAATCTCGGCTCACTGCAGCATCAGCCTCCTGGGCTCAGGGGATCCTCCTGCCTCAGCCTCCTGAGTAGCTGGGATGACAGGCGAGTACCACCATGCCTGGCTAGTGTTTTTGCATTTTTTGTAGAAACGGGGTTTCACTATGTTGCCCAGGCTGGTCTTTGAACTCCTGGGCTCAAGCAATCCTCCCAGGTCTGCTTTCCAGAGTGCTGGGATTATAGGCATGAGCCACATGCTTGGGCTGGTTATTGTGTTTTCTGTGAGGTAAATGCATTGGCATTTGGAGAAGGCATAGATCAAAATCACACTTGCACAAACATGTCAGCTGTCATCTCTGTACTCTCAGCGTTTCTCCGGAATGTACGAGTCAGGCTTGAAGACACTAGGTCAGATCTTAGAGCACTGGCAGAAGGGGCTGTAATTAAACTTTGGGTCAGATTGCAGATGCAAAGGTTGGAACGTGGGGATGTCCATGTGTTCATACTTTTTTTTTTTTAAATTAAAGGATTCTCATCGCTTTGGAAAGCACCTGAGAGAAGCAATGATTGACATCATCACTTTGTTCGGGCTCAGTTCTAATTCCAAAAAGTAATTCCACTGGAGCTCCTGTGAAGGAAGACGAGCTCCTGATACAAACCAAATGAAAAGTAGGCATTAATCCCGATCTTAGTTCGGGATGAGAAATTGCTCTTAAGAGAACTCAGAAGCTTTCCTTCCAGAAAAGGTGGTTTTTGTTTTCCTAGAACAGCGTCTCGACCCTGTGAAGCGCAACCCCACTACTTCCAGATCGCCCTCCCTTGGGGGACGTTTGATAAAGGCTCCCCGAGGGCTTCACGGCGCTGGTATTTATAAAGAGATTAAATCTTGTCGGGTTAATTGAGGAATTAGTAGGGTCGTGGCTTCACACACTTGGAAATGGAAGCGGTGCGCTTTCTCAGCAGCCGTTGAAAACCTGCGACGGAAGGGCATTTAGCGTCATCCAGGAAGTGTAAACTTTCGTTCTGTTAAAAGACAAATGTGTTGTCAAGTTGGTGGTGTCTGCAGTCGTAGCTAACACATCTGGGATGCACTAACCGAAATGACATGCTTTGGAGAGCTGCTCTTGTCCCCGTGGGTGACTGTCCCCGTCCGGTCCAGTAGCCTGTGCTTGCCTCTGCACATTCGAAGCAAGCAGGAAGCAACGCCTGTAGTCTCACCGACCTCGTATGTCTTCATGTCTTCACAGCCCAGTGCCTTAAAAATGAAAGGCCCTGAATGTAAAGGAGACGGAGTGAAAGATGTATTTTGTGGAGTCTTTGGGTGGAATTGTGGGTATACTGTTCCCTTCACAATGGACCAAGTATGGCTAACCCTCAGTAAGCATTACAGCCCCTCCCCCTCAGAAAGACCCATTGCTTCGTAGGGCAGCTGAGCTGGACTCCCCTCCCCGACGTTGTCATCATAAGCAACAAAAGAAATAACAGGCACGTGTCAGAAAAAGGGCATTCAGGTAATCCACTCAAGAATAAACTGTGAGACGTGCCTCAGGATGATCCCTTTCCCAAAGTGACAGCAAGCAGGGTAGGGCACTGGCCACTGAGCAGGGACCAGCATGTGAGGAAGGGGAGGGCAGCCCCCCGTGGTGAGGAGAGAGTGGCTCCACGACCTGGGGGATTGTCTCCAGCCACCCTGCCAAGGGGAGGACTCACTGGAGGGTGGTGGAGACAGTCTGCTGGCTTACCTTGGTGACCGGCCAAGGTGTCTCGAGTGAGGGTGCTAGGTTGGCTCAGCCTGTCCTTCAGACAGGAGTGCCTTCACGAAAGCATCTCATTGATCACAAAGCAATTATCCACTAGTCATCTTCAGTATTTGATGCAAAAACGAAGCATCTGGAATGAAATTCCCACTGGCTGTCGTGACAAGCTTAGCTGTCCATTGTTTTAAATTGTATATTTATTTTTCTGACCACTTGGTTCTAGTTGGGCCTGCCTCCTTCAGAGTCCTGCACGTGACAGTACAACAGTGCGAGCTGAACTGCAGGAGGGGGTGGAAGGTGCTTGCTGGAGAGCACATGCATGTGCGTTTGTTTTTCTTTTGTTTTTGAGACGGACTTTCCCTCTTGTTGCCCAGGCTGGAGAGCAGTGGTGCGATCTCGGCTCACTGCAACCTCCAACTCCCGGGTTCAGCAATTCTCCTGTCTCAGCCTCCCGAGTAGCTGGGATTACAGGTGCCTGCCACCACGCCCAGCCAATTTCTGTATTTTTAGTAGAGACGGGTTTTCATCATACTGGTCAGGCTGGTGCCTCAAACTCCTGACCTCAGGTGATCCAGCCACCTCAAACTCCCAAAGTGCTGGGATTACAGGCGTGAGCCACTGCACCTGGCCCACATGCATGTTTTATGTATGTATACTTCGTGATGTTAAAAACACCACCTACATGGGCCAAAGATTTTTTTTCTCCTGAAAGCAAGAAGAAATAAAAACAACAGCAAAAACAAAACAACAAAAGCCCCTGATTGTCTGAGGTGTACAAGTCAAGCAGGCTGCGGGGACGTAGCTCCTTCTGCCTGGGGCAAGTATCGCGCTTCCTGTCAGTAGCCGGCAGCCGGTGTCAGTCCCTATCAGAGCCAGCTAGATCATGCACTGTTGACCACTGAGCAATGTGTGTTACCGCGGGGTTCACACAGGAACTTGAGTGTAGACATGTGAGTGCTTACACACAGTCGGGTTTCTCTCAGGTTTTAAATGTTTCAAATGTAATTGTTGCTCATCAGTGCAGTTATCAATGCAATTGTCTATTCCTTGAGGGGAGGAGGAGTGGGGTTTTATTGTACTTGTCGAAGCGGGGTGGTGAGAGTATTATGTATTTAATTTAATTTGGAACAAATCATTGCCTTAACGCAGCCATGGTTTGAATTTGTTATCTTGGGCTGACCGGTGCATGTAAATGCGACATGCACTTTGGATGTAAATCTTAGAAATGCAGTGTGAATGGAGGTGATCATTAATAAAACATTAACCCCAGTCTACTACAATTTGCATGTCTCTTTTGTTATGTTAATTAAGGGAATTATAAGTCAAGGACAGTTCAGATACTTGAGACAAAGTGGAAAGTCTGAGCAGATGGAAACAAGGCCTCGGAGCAGACAGTGGCCATTGCCAAGTCCATGTACTGGGCTGGAAAGAAAAGCCTGTTGATTTTCACTTGATGTGCATTGATTCATCCATTCCTTTGCCTCCGTGCTGAGAACAGTGCCTGGCATATAGCAGATGCTCAATAAATATGTCAAAGGAATGCACGGATTCCATTTTCCTGTTTTTTCTTGAGTACTTGTATTAGGCCATTCTCACGTTGCTGTAAAGAAATAGCTGAGACTGGGTAATTTATAAGAGGTTTCATTGGCTCTCAGTTCTGCAGGCTGCACAGGAAGCATGGAGGCATCTGCTTCTGGGAGGCCTCGAGGAGATTTTCACTCATAGTGGAAGACAAGGGGGAGCAGGCATTCCATATGGCAAAAGCAGGGCAGAGAGGAGGGAGAGGAGAGGCGAGGGGAGGGGACGGGAGCTATACACTTGCCAACGGCCCGATCTCACAGGAACACTTGCACTCTATGGTGAGGACAGTAGCAAGAGGGTTAGTTCATGAGAAATGCACACCCATAATCCAGTCACTTCCCGCCAGGCCCCACCTCCAACATGAGGGATTACAAGTGAACAAGAGATTTGGGTGGGTATACAGAAGCTAACCATATCAGGGCCCATTCTAGGCACTTGGGAGACAGCAGTGACCCAGCCAGGTTCTGGCTGTCACATCAGTGCCTTTTCACATTGCTGTAAAGAGCTACTTGAGACTGGGTAAGTATAAAGGAAAGTCGGTCAATTGACCCCGTTCTGCATGGCTGGGGTGGCCTCAGGGAACCTACAATCTGGCAGAAGGTAAGGGGAAGCAAGGAACCAATCTTACAGGTGGCAGAGGAGAGAGCAAGGGGGAAAGGAACCAATCTTACAGGGGGCAGAGGGGAGAGCAAGGGGGAAAGGAACCAATCTTACAGGCGGCAGAGGAGAGAGCAAGGGGGAAAGCTTCCAATCTTACAGGGGGCAGAGGGGAGAGCAAGGGGGAAAGGAACCAATCTTACATGTGGCAGAGGAGAGAGCAAGGGGGAAGTGCCAGACACTTTTAAACCATCAGATCTTGCCAACACTCACTATTACAAGGACAGCAAGGGGGAAACCGCCTCCATGACCCAATCACCTCCCACTAGGTTCTTCCCTTGACACAGGGATTACAGTTCCAGATGAGCCAAACCATACTACAAAGGAAAAAGAGAACAAGCCAACCAGTTCAAGGGTCTTAAGTGTCTGGAGGCGACTAAGAGGATCATTGGGAGAGGGTGGTGGCTGGCAAGGAGAGTGACCCACTTAGAGTGGGTTGAGCTGAGAGCTGAGAAACCCGACAGAGCCAGCCTGGTCAGTGCAGCAAGGCAGCGAGTGTCTAGAAGCAGCAGGTGCAGAGCCTCCAGGCTCGACGGCACCCTGTGGGCGGCCCCCACAGGTGGCTGTGTACAGCTGGCATGATGCTGCTCAGTAGATGTCTGATTCTGATTAATAAATACATGAATGGTGCAATCTTGTGGGTTGTGGTCTTGCTCGGGCCACTCAAGTGATGCATGATTCTTGGGCTCTTCAATTTATTATTTTTATTATTTTTCTTCTTCTTTTTATTTATTTACCTTTGTTTTGGTGAGGTTTTTTTTTTTTTTTTCTTTTTTGAGATGGAGTTTTGCTCTTGTTGCCCAGGCTGGAGTGCAATGGTGCGATCTCAGCTCACTGCAACCTCTGCCTCCTAGGTTCAAGCAATTCTCTTGCATCAGCCTCACAAGTAGCTGGGATTAGAGGTGTGTGCCACCACGCCTGGCTAATTTTGAATTTTTAGTAGAGACACAGTTTCACCATGTTGGTCAGGCTGTTCTTGACCTCCTGACCTCAAGTGATCTACCCACCTCAGCCTCCCAAAGTGCTGGGATTACAAGCATGAGTCACTGTGCCCAGCCCTGGCTCTTCGATTTATATCAGCTGCCTTCTAGATCCCTGCAATTTGGAAAGACCAAGTTGGATCCGAAGTCCTGCCCTTAAACTCTACTCAAGATGATGTGATTATTCCAGCCATAAAATGAGAGTAAGACCTACACACACATCTGTATGTAAATACCCAGAGAGGGGGCTGGAGAGATACATAACAAATTCAGGTGTGATGGGGATGGTGTGGTGCTCAAGCTTGATTTTAACATTGAAAGGTCTTAGTAGGAGAGTTTACTAAGAAAAACCTATCCAAACTTTAATCTGAAGAAGCCACTAGGGCTTGCCTTCTGTGGAATCCTCCAAAACGTGAAATGCCAGGACACACGGGATGTGGTGCTGCCGAATCTCACTGCTCGTCGCTGTGACACGGCCAAAGAGTGGACTTCAATTGTGTTTGTCAAGTCCATATGTTGCCTGGAATATATTTCAGGTCATTCACATGGCAGGAATTTTCCAACTGAGAATTTAATGTCCAAAATTAATTTTTCACATGAAGTCCTGGCTATGCTCTTTCTGAATGCCTTCAACCGGGCGGCCCAAATTTAAGAATTCTAAACCAGGAAAAATTTTGTTTTGTTTTGTTTTGTTGAGAGGGCGTCTTGCTCTGTTGCCCAGGCTGGAGTACAGCAGTGTGATCTAGGCTTATTGTAGCCTCCGCCTCCCGGATTCAAGTGATTCTCCTGCCTCAGCCTCCCGAGTACCTGGAATTACAGATGTGTGCCACCACGCCCAGCTAATTTTTGTATTTTTAGTAGAGATGGGGTTTCACCACGTTAGCCAGGCTGGTCTCAAACTCCTAACCTTGTGATCTGCCCACCTCGGCCTCCCAGAATGCTTGGATTACCGGTGTGAGCCACCACGCCCAAGCCCCGGTCAAAATTTTCTTGATTTTTGAATGTTAAGTGCACAATTAAATAGTACATGGTGGGCCGGGCGCGGTGGCTCAAGCCTGTAATCCCAGCACTTTGGGAGGCCGAGGCGGGTGGATCACGAGGTCAAGAGATCGAGACCATCCCGGTCAACATGGTGAAACCCCGTCTCTACTAAAAATACAAAAAATTAGCTGGGCGTGGTGGCGCGTGCCTGTAATCCCAGCTACTCGGGAGGCTGAGGCAGGAGAATTGCTTGAACCCAGAAGGCGGAGGTTGCGGTGAGCCGAGATTGCGCCATTGCACTCCAGCCTGGGTAACAAGAGCGAAACTCCGTCTCAAAAAAAAAAAATAGTACATGGTGTTGCTGTACCTTGGGTACTACCCTTTAAAAATTTAGAAAAGAAGCCGGGCGCGGTGGCTCAAGCCTGTAATCCCAGCACTTTGGGAGGCCGAGGTGGGTGGATCACGAGGTCAAGAGATCGAGACCATCCTGGTCAACATGGTTAAACCCCGTCTCTACTAAAAATACAAAAAATTAGCTGGGCATGGTGGCGCGTGCCTGTAATCCCAGCTACTCAGGAGGCTGAGGCAGGAGAACTGCCTGAAACCAGGAGGCGGAGGTTGCGGTGAGCTGAGATTGCGCCATTGCACTCCAGCCTGGGTAACAAGAGTGAAACTCCGTCTCAAAAAAAAATTTAGAAAAGTGTTTCATTTTTAAAAGTGAGATTAGAAAGCTGATGTTTTACGTTTTTTATTTTTACCAAAACAGTACTTACGCTGCTCTGGTAAACAGCACCTGAGGCTGTGTCGCCAGCACCCACTCCTGCCAGCCCATCTTAACCCTTTGGCAGGTTCCACCATCACTTGAACTAAACTTTCGCCTCTTTTCTTGATGAAGCGGTGATACCTATTGACTCCTTAAAGATGAAATAGTACATTCCCCACCCAAAATTTAAGACTTTCACTGTACTTGCGACTTTGTTTTTTTCTCTGTCGCCCAGGCGGGAGTGCAGTGGCACGACCTCAGCTCACAACCTCCATCTCCCAGGTTCAAGCCTCAGCCTCTCGAGTAGCTTCTTTTTATTTTATTTTTGAGACAAAGTCTCGCTCTGCGACACAGGCTGGAGTGCAGTGGCGCGATCTCTGCTCACTGCAACCTCCACCTCCCGGTTCAAGCGGTTCTCCTGCCTCTCTCCTGAGTAGCTGGGATTACAGGACCCCGCCACCACGCCCGGCTAATTTTTGTGTCTTTAGTAGAGACGGGGTTTCCCCATGTCGTCCAGGCTGGTTCTGAACTCCTGATCTCAAGTGATCTGACCGCCTCAGCCTCCCAAAGTGCTGAGATTTCAGGCGTGAGCCACCGCGCCCAGCCAGAAAAATATATTTTGTAACCCACGGTCAGAAGTCAAGCTAGGCAGTCCCACTTAGCGCTGCCCGAGTCGATGAGGCCCTCAGTTTCCCCACCTGAGCTTGGAGCAGCGGAGCCCTGGGAGCGCCTTCCGGGATCCCCGCCCCCCCGGCCACCGCCGCAGTTCAGGCCCCGCCCCTCGCCACTCTGTCACCGCCCACCCGCAGGCCCCGCCCACCACCCAGCTCCCCCGCCCCGCCTTTACCGCCCCCACCTCGACTCCGCCCCACGCCCAGGCCCCGCCCCTTCCCCAACCGCCAACGGCCGCCGGCGCCTGAGGCCCGGCCCGCGCCTCATCCTGCTCGCCCCTCCGCGCCGCAGCAGCCCCGGCGGCCCCAGGTGCATCCCTCCCAGGAAGCCTGACGGAGCGGCCCCCGGGTCTGGCCTCGGCTCTGCAGGCGGGAGGGGGCGGCCGGACCGGGCCAGGCCCCTGCGGGTGGGCGGTGGGCGGTGGGCGAGGCCGCCCCTCACTTGGTCGCCCCTCCCCGGCCGCCCCTCAGCCTCTCTCCCCTCACCGGCTCCCCCCTCCCCTGGTCCCTCCTCACCTGGCCGCCCCTCCCCTGGTCCCTCCTCACCTGGCCGCCCCTCCCCTGGTCCCTCCTCACCTGGCCGCCCCTCCCCTGGTCCCTCCTCACCTGGCCGCCCCTCCCCTGGTCCCTCCTCACCTGGC